AGACGTGTGCTCTTCCGATCTTATATAATTTTATTTAAAAAAGAAAAGTAATGCGCGTATTTAAATATATGAGCGTTTAAATATTTTGTATAATTACAATCAACATTACGATTAGGTGATTGAGCGAAAGAGTTGCATAATTTTGATCCATGAAAGTGACGATTTGACATATATAAAGTAACTGTAAAAGTAACTATTAAATTAGTTACTAGTTACTTAAAAAATCTAACTAATTGTAAGTTAAGTTACAGTTACACATGGAAAGAAAGTAACAAAGTTAAGTTATTGTTATTGAAAAAAAGTAACTGTAACTGTAACTTCGTTACAAGTAACGAGTTACTTTCCAACCTTGATATATATATATATTATTGCAAAATTTTTAAGAAATCCATCGTTTTGATGGATTTTAATTTCATTTAATTAGAATATTTATTATACATATAATATAGTAATGCGAACCCAGCTAGCACAGAGAGTTTAGGAAAAATTCTTTTTCTAGGAGTTAAGAACTAAAAAAGAATTTTTGTACCTGAAAATGAACTTTTTCTTTTTCTAGAAAAGTTCTGAAAAAGAATTTTTGCACCTGAAAATGAACTCAGAATTGATAATATGTACATAACGATGAATATGCGAATAAATTCTTTTTGAATTCTCTACGTTATTTGAGAACAAATCCTATTATCACCGTGAAGTTCGCTTTTGAGGCCTCCACAATTGCAACTTTGTGTTACTTCGACGGATCAATTCACAATTAGTAAAGGCGTGAAAAAATATTTTTGTCTATGTTTAATTAAATACTAATTGGCAATTGTATAATCTTAAATTTACATTTGAACAACTTTTATTTGATAAAATAATATTTTTGGTTTAGGAAAGATGTAATTTTATTATACCGGAACTGGAACCGAACTAAATAAAAACCCTTTCGACCCGAGTCCCTGTGGGTTATTAAATTGATATTTGATTCAAAGTTATGTATTAATTTTACGGATAGGGACAAATCTTATACGAAGTGGATGAGCAGGGCGAAGTATCATATTCCCCTGCAGCTGAAGATCTTTTAAATGGTCAACAGACTCCAAGTAGAAA